GTTCAGAGCCAGATCCGCGTTAGTCAGGAATATTACATCTGAACCTATACTGCCAACTAAATGGCGACGATACGAGGAGCGTGCTTGGAGATTTGCCATGTTTTAACGGGACGGGGGCGGTAACAGCATTAGCCTAGCAGTCATTTCGGCCAGATTTCACTCCGCTTACTGAGATGCTAGAATACTGTCGGCCGTCAGCCCAGGGGTCGTCTAGTCGTGTATGGTTGTCCAGAGTTCGCAGCCTGAGACATTACTGGTCTCAGTCTCAGTCACCTTCTCGTGTTAGCTAGGCGCGTCACGGGTGTGCAGCGCCTACCCAGGGGGTACCTGGCCACAGCCGGAGGTCACGAGTTGCTTTAATTACCACGGAACGGAATCGATCTGGCCATTTCCAGGTTAATGGCGTTCAGAATCTTTTCGCCTGCAAGAGGCACCTCTCCGGGCACTTACATCCCCGTGTCATTTTCAGTCGCCTCATACGACAAGCAATGACTAGCTGTGGTAGTATTCTATGGGCCGCTTACCACACGGCTGATGTGTGGTGTGTGTGTGTGTGTGTGTGTGTGTGTGTGTGTGCGTGTGTATATTCTTCTGCACCATGGGTGAGTTCACAACTTCTATTTGCCACGGATTTCTAGCGTCGAAATTAAATAACCATTCCGTTATGTACGATACGATAGGATTCTGTATGCTACTTACGTTCCCTGACATCTTCATTATCTTTCATTATTTAATTATCTACATTTAACAAGTTTATGAGACTTACATTTCTGCTCTGCATGCGATTATCTACTCTTACTCTTTTTATACCCGGAACCCATTAAAAATGGGTCCGTGCGTCCGTATGTATGAACGCAAGGATCTCAGAACCTATAAGAGCTTGAGACTTGAAATGTAGATGCTCCTAGTTCTCGCGCACATCCAGTTTGTTTCAGATAATCGAAAACTTACTCCGTTTCCAAGCAATCGATAAAAATCTATATCGATATCCTGTTCTTTTGGGCAATTTTGGTAAATAATAAAAGCTAGAGTCACCAAAGTTGACATATAGCTTCTAAAATAAAATATATATAAGCATTTGATGTTGGAACAAGAGGGTTCAGGGTATCCCCCAGTCGGGAGCTTCCGAAAAGAACCTCTTACTTGTTTTGTTTTATAGTTAGGAAGTGCACAAGTGCGTACGTATGTACATACAAAATATTTTGAAGTGGATTTATTTTGTAGTTGAAAGTAATTACCACAAAATTTATCTAAACGGTTTTTAGTTTGGATCGGATAATTTATATATATATATATATGTATGTGTATATATATTCAGAACATTGCCAATCACTTTTCTTAAGGAAAAAAGTATGACGAAAAAATATGGCGGATATTGCCGAATATATATATGGGAAAGAAATTTTGTATTAACTTATCTTTGCCAAAAAACTTGTGTAGGGGCGAACGGTTGATAAATCCGGCTCGAAGGACTAAAGTTTGTGGGGGGTGGCTCAGATAAATAATAAATAATCCAAATAAAACCGGTGTTTGTTGTAATTGCACTTTATTAGAAAAATTCGGCTGCATAAAACAAGCTGTACATTAGAAGACATTTGCCTATTATCTCGTTGGAGTTATGGTGATGGAGTGGAGACCATAAGGAGAGTGCTGAGCGTAGTAGTGAGTGAGTCTCTCTCAGTGAGTGGTCTGTCTCACTGAATGACTCTCTCACACTGAGTGAGGCTCAGTCAATGCTATGTTCAGACTAGTAATAAACTGGCATGAACAATCAGAAGAGCCTATGAGCGCAATGCGGCTCAATATAATTTACGCAGCAAGCCTGTTTCTTTTCGTGAGGACAGGAGGTGTGTCGAAACTTTACGCTTAGTAAATTCTCACACATTTTTAATGCGAAACTTGCTTTTCAGTTTATTAAATGCCGTGTCAAAAATAAACTAGGCCCTTGAAAATCACTAAGGAAAAGAAATTCGAACTTTCCATGCCAAAGACATTGAAGTCTAATATACCCGTCTAACGGTGGTATATTATCGGGTGGTGTAACGGTCGCCGTTTTTTAATTTAATTTGAACCGCGTAAGCTATCCCAACAGGTTGCTTTTGTATAAGATATCTATACCGATCAGCTTTTGTCTGTCACTGTCAGCTGCTTGAGATTCTGCCGCTGCGGCCAAGCGCCTGTGTGCACGGGGGCAGCGCAGAAATAGCTCTGCGACCGTATATAAGCCATGTTTGGCTCGGATATAACCCTCTTTGTAAAATAATTTTACAAGCAAAGGTCTGGCTACGGCAGTTCAAACAAAGCCCCAACAAAAAAAATTTTTAATTAAATCTAAAATAAGTTCGGGCATCCGTCGTCTCTCTTGAAAACAAAATCCTTAAAGTGACCGATTGGTGATATATAAATATTTACGCCGTAAACTTTCGGAACGCCACGAGGCCCGGGAGCACCTGATCGCCTTATACACTTTTGTATTCAGATCTTGTCGCAGCTCAAGCAGTTCTGGTTGTTATATGAACGAATCGGATTTTGTTGAGAAATCTAATTGACAATTGAATTTTTTAATGAAATCTACTCCAATTATTCTATCACCAGGGATAGGAGAATTGTTTGGTACTATGTGAAAGTTATGAGGTATAATAAAATTTCCAGTTCTTAATTCGAAATTCGTTTTTTATACTGACGAATATGTTTAAATTGAGATTAATTGTGTGAACTTTTGTTTTTACTGTGCTTGAGTACTCAAGGGGCTGTGTCCTCTCTGAGAATGCAATACCGAGCTTTAATTACCGGTCATTTCTGCACTGCAATGCTTCATTCATCGTTTTTGAATGCCTTTACTACGTCGGATGTTTCGCCGACAATCGTAGTCTGCAATTTATATATAATCGCGTCTATTGTGGTTTCATTTAGTATTATATAAAGAGTTGAACCTACTATTTTGGATTTTATTACTTCGATTGCAATTTCTTCAAATCGACCTTTTGTTAGGTATTTCGCTAGGTCAACATCGCGCATCGTCGTACCGCTTGGTACGCGGCAATGACATTCTCAAGTTAAATTCGTTAATGTAACGAATTGGTGTTTGCATAGTTTGAGACTAGTACCCATCCTAAAGAGTCAGCTAAATCGTTAGCCGTGCACCGGTGGACCCGAACTACAGGGTAACTAAACATTCATAATGTTACGTTATATCTTTAAAAAGGAAGGTGTAGTATGTATATGCCTTAAAAGAACACCCAGTATTCATATATAAAGTATTTGGCACTTTGTTGTATACAATAACAAATATATATTAAACAAACCCAGAGCTACTTTACGTATTGGCTCTGGGTTTGTTTAGCACCTTTGTGGCGGATTCTACAGGTTTCAATCCCGTTTTTCTGATGCTGATGATCAGCTGTTTCCGGGTTCCGCAATTAGTGCGTTCGACCCTAGGACAAAAGCGGGTAACTTGAGGTAAATACAGCAGAAATCAAGGGCTCACGATTTTTACAAAAGAAGACAGAAGAAAGAGCGGCCTCGTCGTCCAACTTCCTCAAGGAGCAAGCGCCACCGAAGTGGGTGCCAATGGCAACCTAGCGTCGAAGAGACGGCGACACCGTCCCGGGGCCCGGGGCCCAAGATGTCTGGAGGACCGCATCACACATGCCGCGTTCACCCAATAAATATACCGGGGCCACTCCCCGAGTAGAATGCTCCGAGCCGTGGGGAGCACCGCTTGCCATCACTCAGATGGTCGTGGAGAAACATCCACCAGAAAGATGGAGGATGCGTGGTTCTGCCATGAAGACGCCGTTAGGGATCGCCGCACACATGGAGAAGGATATGGGAGAGGTGAGGTCCGAGGACGTCACGGTACTACTGAGGGGAACGATCGGTGCGGTACGGTGCCAAGGAAATAATTTAAGCTTAATTGTAACCGCCGGCTGCTGCAGCGACCGTGCGCTGCAAATCGGTCGCTCAACACTGACTTTGAGAGCTCAACTTTGACTCGGTGGCGAAGAGCGCTAGCTCCGAGGCGAAGTTGCGAAAGCTCGCGGCGAAGTTGGGCGGAGAAGCTGGGTGGCCGAGGTAAGGGCACGAATCGTCTGCGAGCGAGCTGGCACTTTTTGAGCTAGCATAAGGGTGAGAAGACGCGTGTCGAAGAAGGCAAAGCGAACGAAAAAAAGGTTGAGTATGCGGAGAGCTCCAGGCAGATCGGCAGGGCCTTAGCATAGGGAACAGGGTAGGATACAATGTAATAGCAAAGAAACGTTTGTAATGAAACCCGCTAGATTTTTTTTTATCAAAATTTAACATTAATCTCAAGTAACCCCTTTAGTGTAGAGTGTAGTGGTACTAGGCTGCTGCCCGTCGTCTGTGAGAGCTGGAGGCTTAGCCCTTCGCTTGTGTGAGCAATCCCGGCTGTGTGTATTTACTTCACTCCCTACCCAGTAAAGGTAGTATGGGGAATGATTTGTTTGAAGCTATTTATCCTCCCTCTAAGCCCACCATCATAGCAAATTAACAAATGTAACTTGCTGCTCCAGGTGACCTGTATGTGTATACTATTCTAGAGGCTACATGGCACGTTTGGTGACTTTAGCTCTTATTATTTACCAAATTAGCTCCAAAATCGGAATTTGGATTTCGATTTTTATCGATTACATGAAAACGGTTATCGAAAACAAAATCGTACTGAAATCGACTCGGCATCTCCGACCCCATATAGTATGTATTTAATAAAATACATACTATATGGGGTCGGAGATGCTTTCTTCTGATTGATACATACATTTGCGGAAATACATTATATCCCTTTTACACATTTTTATTGAGCTCAGGGCATACAAATAATTTAATAAAAAGCGTAATTTATTCGTAATAATGTTTTATGTTCGGTAAAATGATTTTAATTTCATTTACATTTAAAAGGCTATATTTGCAAATAGTCATTAAAATAATAAATAAAATATTTATGAAAATGTTTAATTAATGAAACTTAATTATATAAATACTTACGGATACTGAAAATATGGGATCATCATGTCAACCATTTCAGCATTGATTAAGTCAGTTGGGTATTCAACGATTTTTCTAAGGAAGCTGGTGTCCGACATCACCTTAAGGGACTCATCCCAGGAACTTTGTATAAAAGTCTTCTCCGTATCAGGACGAATAGGTTTAATCTGGCGGCGGAATAATATACAGACACAATCCATAATAAGAGTAATCAAGTATGGGGGTTTTCCAAGCTTGCGAACAGTAGCAATATCTGCCGCTTTAATAGTTTTAAGTGCTGCTTCGGCTTCTTCCAAAGCAGGTAACGCCTTTTCTAACTTGGCTTCTGCCACTTGTTTTACAGCAGATATATTTTTTACGAGAACTTCCGCTGAACCTTTCTTTTGTGCCACTTCAACTTTAACAATTTCAGCTGCTCCTTTGGATTGTTCCACAGTTGCTAAGACTTCTTCTGCTTCCGAAGTAGCTAATGCAATAACTTTATTCATTTCAACTAAATCCTTTTTAAGCACAGAGACAGAAGCACCTGCCTCATCTAGTTTGTCTAAGCCAGAGCTCATACGTTCCGACATTATGACAATATGATTTTGCTTTTGTTTGTAAAGAATTTTGTAGCTTTCTAAAAACGCTATTAGAGATTTGGGTGTGACAAATGTTAAGCGGCGAAAACGATCATAATAACTAAAGCATGCATCTTGTACAGATTCGTGAATCCAACTCATAATATCAACGACCTGATCTTTAACCTTGTCACTACATATAAGTTCCAGCTCGCCAAGATAGTGACGGGATACTGCCACACATGCATCTATTGGCCATTTCTGAAACCAATCAATTATACAACCGGAAATAAGGCCAGGGAATTTAAGTGAACGCAGTCGAAATTTCTCCCCGACCTATAAAAAATGTATTAAGTAACTTATTATTGATTATTATTTACAAATATACCGGCGAAAAGCAGAGAGCTATATGAAGATTAGATCGTGCGCGCGTTATGAAAAAATCATATAGGTTTTCTTGAGTTGGTGGCCTTCTTGGTTGTTGTTTTTTCATGATTGGGATAAGTTCATTGTAAATTTCGTCCATCTCATCTTTGGCAAACAGATTAGCTATTTCACCAGAGCTTAAAATGTTATTAATAAATTCTAAAAATGACTCTTCTTTAATTTCGTTATCTGTAAATATGAAGGTCATGCCGCTGCCTTCTAAGCCAGAAGTTCGATACATAAACTTTAGATCATCAGTTAAATTACCGGTGTTGTAGGAACGTGTTAAAGTAATTTGAAAAAATTTGTATCCTGCTATAAATGAAGCAAGTCGAGTCAAACTCTGTTTACCCGACCCACCCACGCCCACCAGCAGCGCATTGCCACGAGGATTACTAAGTATACGGGAAATTATCATTAAATGTTTTAGTGCATCTGAGAAAAATACAAGATCCATGTTAAGGCCACGTATGTACTCATTAAATTGTGACATGAAGAACATGACTTTACTTCGTACAAATTCAAAACTGATAAAAAAGTTATAATCAATAATTTACAAAAGAAAAAAATATATTATTACCTTGGTATTTCCTCATAGATCTTAGGGGGCTCTAATGAAATATCCTCATCGTCATCTTCCATTGGCTCCGGGGCATCCCGCAAAAAGTCTACCCAATAAGATGCTTCTTCAGGAAAATGATCATAAAGCTCTTCTAGATAAAATTCTGCATCAATGCGCATACGAGTTAAAAACCAAATTTTATCTTTCTCAACGGTAAAACGATCTGCAATTACTCGGGTGCACTCGTGACACCATAATTTCAGCACCTGATCTACAGTGTTACATTCTTCGCTCTTAACTTTTAGAACGCCTTCCCAAATACGTGAGAGGTCTCTTAAGTTAAACACATAGTGGAAATTTGCTGGAGTAGGCAACATTTTGATCTTAACGTTTTGCCAAAAAACTCGAGTCAGGGGTACCAGTAATGGTATTATCTGTACAACATCTTCTTCAAATCGACTCGGGGAAAAATAGCCAACACCAATACTTTTAAAAATTTGGTCTATAGAGTTATTGCTTGGTAACGTACAATTGAATATAGACAAATGACGCTTTAAACGATTTGGGATATCATTGCGACCTCCACCTGGGTGAATCATGGCTGACAGCATTTGAATATCCATAATAGTAGAAAAATCTCCTGGGCGATCTAAAGAATAAAATCCACGTTGCTCAATCATTTGACGAACAATCTCATTCGTAATTTGATCACCCCATTCATTGATAACTGGCATGTTAATGTCATCTATAAATACAGTCATTGATCGTTGGTTTGGGGGTCCGTAGGTGGTACCTTGTCTTTTTTCAACATATGATTCAATAATCCGCTGCAATAGAACACATTCCACTGTAGTCTGACAATGTCTGATAATCAAAAAGTTTACCCAGCTACAAATTGGCATAATTTACATTCTTACTATTCTGTACTCTAAATGCGCAATATAATAAATTTTAAGTACGGAAGAATCAGAGAATAGGGAGCGCAACACATAGAATAGGGAGTTTATTTAAATATGTTCTTAAATAAATGTCTAGGCTTGGAGGTCTACTTGCATCCGTCAGGTCTTGTATGCTGTATTAGTTTATATTATTGACGACGTTAATGTATATCGGAATTCGGATTACAATTTTCTCGTGATTATAGCTGGAAGAGCAATAATTGTCGGGCTCTGATAAAGAGTTATCACATTACTTACATATCGATTTTCGTCGTGTAAGTTACACATGAATTCTGAAATCGCCTTTATGACACGGACGGCCCGAAGAAGTCTTGCAAATAGGGCTCAGAGTAGAGGGAGAGAGGTATCAAATAGAAAACGCTGCATATTGACGATTAAGATTGTATATCTATACGTATATGCGAGAACCCTAGTAAGCAAGCTGTCCCTCTCTTCTCTCATTTGTAGCTTTACAGTTTTGCGCCAAATGGCAGACTGTAAACAACACGTTTTGAAATTAGACACACTTAGACCATCCGAAATGGTTGTAAAATTGTAATTGTTAGCTATAATCATCACATAATAATACTAGCGGGTATAACCCGGAATTGCATGTAGCACGTATAAATTAAATTGTTTCAAATTTTATCAAATACCCATCAGCTGAGTAGGCAACAGCAGAAGAGAACAATAAGAATTACAGCCTAGAAGCAAATAATGCTTGCGGGCTCCTTGTTAGCTGCTGCACACTCTCTATCGGTTGGCTTTTGTCTGCATTTACGATCGCTGCCCATCGCTCTGAGAAGCGAGCGTGATTTTAAATTCAATTTCATTTTTAGCGACACAACTGTACTGTAAACCATACCGGAAGAGGATACAGAATCGCTGCTTAAGTTCGACGGTGGCAACGACATTACGAAAAAGTTACAGATTCTATTATACGACCTACAGCACATGGGACATGGTCACCTATAGTTAAATTAAAGCTACGACCACTACACCACTACAGCTACAAAATATTCTCACATGTGCGCATACAGGAATATTAAACAATATAGACCAATTCGATAAAGCTCAAAGGGCGCTTAGAGCTTTATATTCTTTGAAGAAGCTTTAAAAATTCTTGAAGCAAAACTAAGACAACTTAAAGAAAAAGTAAATATTTTGGTACCTAGGAAAAGACAAACGAGAAAGAAAGGCTACCTTCGGCACGCCGAAGATCTAATACCCTTGCAGACACAACCTTTTCATAATGCTTATAGTGCTTTCCCGTATCTAAGAAACACAGCGAAAATAATTAATGTCAAGTTTGGTCAAATATCTTGATAAACAAAAAAGGTTTTTAATCAATAACCTATGGCAGATATATGATATAGTAGTCCGATCTTAAGAGGATTTTGCATGTATATGAGTTGTATAGTAAAGCTAATAAATGCCGAGTTTGGCAACATATCTTGAAAAAATACATTTTTTTTCATACAACTTATTTTTCGACCGATCGCTCCTATGGCAGCTTTATGACAAACTGGTCCGATCTTAATAGGATATTTCATTTATATGAGGAGCATAGTAAAACTAATAAATGCCGAGTTTGGTGAAGATATCTTAATAAATAAACTATTTTTTCATACAACAATTTATTTTTCGACCGATCGTTCCTATGCCAGCTATATGATATAGTGGTCCGATCTTAATAGGATTTTGCCTATATATGAGGAGCAGAGTAAAACTAATAAATGCCGTGTTTGGTCAAGATATTTTGATAAACAAAATGTTTCTTTTCATACAAAAACATAATATTCGACCGATCGTTCCTATGGCAGCAATATGATATAGTGGTCCGATTTTAATAGAATTTTGCATATATATGAGGAGCTAAGTGATACTAATAAATGCCGAGTTTGGTCAAGATATCTTAACAAACAAAATGTTTTTTCATACAAAAACTTCATTTTCGACCGATCGTTCCTATGGCAGCTATATGATATAGTGGTCCGATCTTAATAGGATTTTGCATATATATGAGGAGTATAGTAAAACTAATAAATGCATATACATGAGGAGCTTAGTAAAAATAAATAAATGCCAAGTTTGGTCAAGATATCTTGATAAACAAAATGTTTTTTCATACAATAACTTAATTTTCGACCGATCGTTCCTATGGCAGCTATATGATATAGTGGTCCGATCTTAATAGGATTTTGCATATATATGAGGAGCATAGAAAAACTAATAAATGCCGAGTTTGGTCAAGATATCTTGGCAAACAAAATGTTTTTTCATTTATTTATTTATTTATTTATTTATTAATGGTCGACGAAACGAGTGTCTTCCTCATTATTCAATAAATCTATTGTATAATCATACAATAGAATTATATGCTAAAAGCCTAGTTAAAGGATACAATTTCCTAAATAGCATCACTGACCGATGGAGGTGTTTTATTTGCCAGTCCGGCCAGCTGTGCCTCTTTTCACAGCTAATTTTGTCAGTGACGCTATTAGAGCCTACATCTAAGCAGAAGGTTGTAAGTAGGAAAAAAGTGTTCTCAAGTAAAATTAAAATAATCTTAATTTGCTATATTAATAAAAAAAATGCAATAAATAGGAAAAATGAAAGTAAGAAGATTGTTAATAAAGTAAAGCAATGTAATTTGGATAAAGAGTGTTAAGTAGATAGGACAAAGAGAAAAGTAATGGGAAATCACCGACCCGGTGGGAGAAAATTTTTCAGCCTGTCCGGCAAGCTACAGACAGTTCGGTAGAGAAAACGTGATGCAAACTATTATAATTTTTACATAGCACGCGAAAAGGATTGTGCATAGCGTAGTCTGTTGTGCACGTAGATAGTAAAAAGGGGAGATAATTTCTGGTTGGTCTAGCCGGAACAGAGAGTTGAAGACGCCCTAGCAGAAAAGGAGAATCTATGTCGCCAATAATCAACTTATGTAGAAGGACAACACCGAGAATTGTCCTACGGTTGGTTAACGATGGTATCTATGTGAAGATTGAAACAGAGTTTAGAATCTAAAATAACTGTTAGTATACGTTGCAAAGGGATATTGTCGATTGTATAACTGACAAGATAAGGTGTAGTACGATTAAATGTCATAAACATACACTTTGAACAATTTAGATGCAATTGATTTGCCGAACACCAAAATTGCATAGCGTTCAAATCGTCTTGTAGACGAGAATGATGTAGGGGCTTAGGGTATGATAGAAAAAGTTTGACATCGTCCGCATACATGAGTACACGGGCATGTGATATAACAGAGGGAAGATCATTTATAAAAAGATTAAAGAGTAAAGGTTCAAGATGACTACCTTAAGGAACACCAAAAGTAACGTAAACCATTTTAGAGGTAGTCAACCTCAGTATTACTCTTTGGGTCCTACCTTTTAAATAAGAATTAATCCAAAGTAAAAGGGACAGAGGGAAACCTATTCGGTCAAGTTTAAAAAGTAAAATGTCATGGTGCACAGAGTCAAACGCCTTACTGAAGTCAGTGTAAATGACATCAGTTTGCATTTTCGAAAGGAAAGCATAATTTACCAAGGAAGTAAACTCAAGAAGATTGGTCGTAGTTGACCGATTCTTTACGAATCCATGTTGAACAGGGGAAACAACTGATTTGCAGAAATGCTGCAAATTCGAAGTGACTATTTTTTCAAATAATTTAGGAATAGCGGACAGTTTCGCAATGCCCCTGTAATTTCGTATATCAGACTTCTCACCTTTCTTGTGAAGAGGAATGATATAAGATTCTTTCCAAAGAGATGGAAAGACAGAAGTTTCAAGGGATAGATTAAAAAGCTTTAGCAATGGATAAAGAAGGGAAGAACTACACACCTTGAGTAGACAACTAGGAATATTGTCCGGCCCTGGAGAGTAAGAAGACTTTAAAGAGTTTATAGCTAATAGGAGAGAGGAGTGTGAAATAATGAGAGGAGGTATAGAACTAGCGGAAGAAATAGTATAAGGGTAAGAATTAGTATTAGGACAGACTGAAGAGTAAGTTGATTGGAAAAAATTAGCAAAGAGGTTAGCAGAATCAGTGTCATTGCTAGCTTTATCCAAGCCAAGAAAAAAAGAAGATGGCAAACTTGAAGATTTACGCTTCAAGTTTACAAAATTATAAAACTGTCTCGGATTTCGGGCAAATTGCCTTTTACAACGAGTTAGATAATTCTCATAGCATTGAGAATTAAGAAGAAAGAAGTTCGACTTGGCTATGGAATATTTAGCCAAGTCTGTACACGAACCAGACTTTTTAAACTTTTTAAAATATTTGGATTTTACATTTTTTAGATGTGATAATCTGGTAGTAAACCAGGGTGGTTTTGAAAAAGTAGTCGAAGGAATTGACTTAGGAATAAACACATCTAAGAGGGAGATTAGGGTGATATAAAAAAAATTAATTGCTGTATTCATATCAACTGAGTCATATAAGAAAGACCAATCGGTTGAATAAATAAGCTGATTCAGCAAAGAATTTCCTTTGCGAAAGCAATAGCAGGGCGTATTGGCTGATGAGCACGAAATGAAAGGATTACAATTTAGCATTGCAATCTCTAAAGTTGGATGATAGACATCCTCAGGAAGAGATAAAGGAGGGGACCTAGACACATTAGAAATAAGGTAGTCATTAACAAATACAAGGTCAAGTGTTCTATTCATATGATTAGAAATTGAATTGATTTGAAACAACGAAAGATCAAGCATGCAGTCTATAAAATCGTAGTGTGCTGAGGGCACTAGATAATTTTGAGCAGTGAATAATGACCCAGAGATGTTCGGCAAATTAAAATCAATCATCACAATTAATAGGTAATTATCACGCACGTGTGAAGAAACTTTAATACAAGTAATATGTCTCAAAT